TTTAATGGGACTAATGATGAGACACAACTATATATGTCATGCTCCTCACCACTCTTCATATTCAAAGTGCTGTTGAAGAAAGCAAGGGGCTCAGTTGTAGTGACATGTTAAAGAGGACATGTGTTTAGAGAGGACAGTGTTGAATGTTTAAAGTTTTGCTCGGGTATCAGCCCTGGTTAGAATCCAGACATCTCAACCTACTTATTTGTCCCTTAGAACTTAATTTCCCCTATTTTCCTCAGCTATAAATTGGGGGAATAATGGATTATATCTGCTAGAGTTTCAGTAAAGATTAAATAATACAATGTACATAAAGCACCATGCGGATGCCAGGTGTGTAAGAAATGTTTTATCTACATGGACTCAGTCATTATCAGTGCTATTCACCATGAAGTTTCTTCACTGTAAACTCACATCTACTTTTTAGAATTTGCTAAGTTGTCTTAAAAACTGTTTTCCCAACTCATTAGCAACAACTATGAAAGAAGGAATTCTCATCATTATCTTCTATCTTGGATTCATAAAGCACCAGGAAAGCAAATTGCATTATATGAACATTTAATATATTCTGCTCTGCTTACCAAATTAAATTAAGCTCCACATAGAGTATATGCAGAGTAAATATGGCTGCCTATGAGGCAAACAATTTTGCTGTTTAAATTTGTCTTCTCTATGACATAAAATATTGTAGAATTATGTACCAATGGAAGAATTGAAAGAAAACTGGGTTTATAGGTTAAATTTTTCAAAAAAATCTCCTATATAAAACATAGCTTAGTGGTTCTACTATTTATTTACTAGCTTTGTTAATTTAGTTAAGTAATTTACTTTTTCTGTGATTTTTATCTGTGAAATGAAAATAATGATACCTCATAATTTGTGATGAGACAAGTTAATTAATGAATAAGATATACAAAGTAGTAGTTTGCACAGAATATAAGTTGCTTCATGTGAGCTGTAATTATTATTTTCCTACCTATCATTGTATTTTCTACAGGCATGTTATAATATAAGTATACATCAGTTATTTTACAATATCACCCCCAATCCTTCCAGCTTTATCAAGGAAAGAAAGGATGCAACCAAAAGCAAAGCAGGTCTCGGGGCAATTATGATGCCTACTTTCATGAGCCTTTCTTGGCGAGAATTGAAAACAAAGAAGCCTCTAAGTTGCTGGAATAGTGATTTGTAAAGTACTTGTGTTTACCAAGACCATCTTACTCATATTTTACAGACATCTTTAAAATAATATTCTGTTTTGGGCTATCAACCTATAGCTAATAAGGGAAAATGTTTTTAAACATTCCATGTTCTAGGAGCTGAGCCAGGGAACTTGCACTGGGCTGTCTTATTTAATCTTTGCAAACTACTATGAAGAAGTATACTAGTTTTTGATTGCTGTATTTAATTACCATAAATTTAATGGCTTAAAACAATACATCCTTTAGCTGCAGATGTCAGAAGTCCCAAATTGGTTTATAAACTGGAATGAAATCAAGGTGTAAAAGGCATGGACACTCTTGGGTCTTTTTATTTCTAGAGGTAGACTCTCTTTTCTGGCTTGTGGGCCCTTTCTCCGTCTTCAAAACACATCACTTCAGCTCTGCTCCCATCCTTACATCTTCACTAACTCTGATCTACCTCCCACTATACGTATTCTTAGATTACATCGGGCCCACCTGAATGATACAGGATGATCTCATCTCAAGATCCTTAATTTTTGATATTCACACATTCCCTTTTAACATGTACAGTAACTTATTCACAGATGCTGGGGATAGGACATAACGTCTTTGAAGGCAGGGAGTTTCAGCCTACCAGAGGTAGATACCATTACACTCAATTTGCAAATAAGGAAAGACAAGTAGTGATTATGAACTCTTAATACACTGAGAAACAAAATTCAAAAAGTTTGACTAACTTACTCAAACTCACTAAAAGTGAAAAAAAAAAAAAACCTAAAAGTGGTCACCAACATACTAATGTAGGTCCTTCTGATCCTAATGCTATTTCTAACACACAATTCTGCCCCCAAAGTAGGAAAAAAGATGAAGAATAGGTTCCCTCTTTAGGTGTAGATTTTTAAATTTTTTTATGAGTTAAAATATTTAATAAATGTTTATTAAGCGGCCACTATACCAATTTTTGGTACCAGGAAGAAATATGAATCAGAATAAGTCAGTGGCTAGGTAATCACAAAATTTCCCATATTTTTTTTTAATTTTATTTATTTATGATAGGCATACAGTGAGAGAGAGAGAGAGGCAGAGACATAGACAGAGGGAGAAGCAGGCTCCATGCACCGGGAGCCCGACGTGGGATTCGATCCCGGGTCTCCAGGATCGCGCCCTGGGCCAAAGGCAGGCGCTAAACTGCTGCGCCACCCAGGAATCCCCCTCCCATATGTTTAAATACCTATAACTCCTCAATCTATAATGAGAGTCCCAACCAAATTCAACTACCCTATAATTGAAAGCTCCAGTGTCACATTATATAAACCTTAGCAATTTGTCATGTCCGGAACTGAACTCTCAATTTTTTTTTCTACAACTATATTCAATCCCTCAGCCTTCTCCAGCTCAGGAAACAGCACCACCATATCCTCCACAACTGATTAAGTATTCAAATGTGTATATTCAAATATATATCTCAATCCTACTTAATTCTCCTTATTTTCATTACCCCTAGACTTCTGACTGGTATTTTCATTTCCATTCTTGGATTGCCTTGATCTCATCTCCATACATAAACTGGCATGATATCAGTAGAACATAAAGTACTTCAATATCTACTGTATTTATAATAAAATCCAAACTTTTCATGATACACAGGGTTACCAGGTACCGTATTCTGTTTAGGACATTTGTGTGCCAGCTGTCTTGGTGTAATTAGTGATAGAGCCTTCTTTCACTCCTGAAATTGTTCCAGTTGGATGATAAATCACATGATCACCATATTCATAGGGTTCTTGTGCAATCTTTCCTCTGCCAAAATTTTCCTCCCATAGTCAAACTTTTCTCTCCCAAGACTCAATAGTGTCTATTTTATAGTCTCTCCGGTAATTATTTTTCTTCAAAATCTGAATCAAAGTATTAAGTATAATCATATACTTGTTTTAATCTGTTGACTGTTCATGCCATTAGGGTATACAAAGACAACTAGGCCCATGTCCATGTTGTTTGCCCCCAAACACTTCAGGCAACATAGTACTTGACACTTGAAAGGTGTCTACCGGTATTTACTAAAACATTAATGACTAAATAAACTTGTCATACAGTCAAATAGCTATATAAACACATAATATAACATTTAAATAATAAAATTGTGTTCAAGATACCAATGACCAAAATCAATACAGAAGCAGAAGTAGTTGTTTTTGTTTGGAGAAAAAGGTTGAGTAGGGAAGGCTCTGTAAGGAGAGGAAACCTAGTCAGCGTTGATGGATGAAAAAGATCATATTATGTGATCAAGAAGTTATTAGGAAAGATTTTTAAGCAGAAAGGATGGCATTCACAAAGGCAAAATGGCTTAAAACAGTGTGATTATTCTGGGAACTCAAAGTAGTTTCTATTATTAGAGTGTACAGTCCTGCATAAATGATATATTAATGTCATGAATCCCTAAGGACAAAACCTAAATTATGAAGAACACCGCAGGAAACAGAGAGAACAGCAAAGAAATTTGAAACTTAGTTTTGTTTTCATTTTTAGTGCTGGGATGATTTGAAAATTTCTATTGCATGTTTAGCTCATCTTATAAATCATAGATGCTTAGATATGTAAATCAGTCTTTAAAGAGTTGTATTTCAAACTTCATTACCATAAAAAATCCTCTCAGTTGTGAGTTTGTCATGTAATTGTCACAAAATTATAATACATGGTCCATAAGGAAACTACAATGAGATTCATGATATATAAAACTAAACGGGGCTTTTCCCTCAGATAATTTTTGGCTTACATATTAAGAATTACCTCAAATTTCTACTTTGGGAAATGAAATTTTACTCATTCTCAGACTAAAAAGAAACAGACTAGAATTACTAAATTAACACGTTCGCATTTATATTATACAAATGCAAAGATGAATACATCTGTAAAATTAATCAAATAGTAGGTCAAATTTTGATGTAAATAAAAGTTGAAGTAGAGAATTAAAACTCATCTCAGATCTACTTACCTAGGAGAAAATTTTCAAGAAATATTCTTGGTACAGATAATCATAAATAGGTTCTTTGAATATAAAAAATGGACACCAGAAGTTTCTCATTGGTGTACAATAGAACATAAATGCTTTGTTTGGCTTACTGAGCAATTCAAAAGTTTGAGCCAAGATTTAAATTTGGAAAAGTCCACATAAAAAAAAAAAAATCAGAATTCTGGTCCCTGGTGGGGAAAAAACGGTCATGGTCCTATAGAGGGCAGTAGGAGTTCTCTAGCTCACCCACAGAGCCACTTCCCCACCATTCAAAGTGCTGAGATCTATGCCACTTCCCTTATATATATTACATGCCTGATCTTATGCCATACCATAAAACTATTGAGAATGATCAAAATATATAGGAAAATATTTACAATTTGATCATTTGTAATACTTAGAATTGAATGCAAATACTATCTTAATGAAATCATCAAAAAATGGAACAATTCAGACACTCAATCTTTTCTTTCTTGGATTTTGTTATTTAAACTATATCAAAATAAACAAAAATCCAAACAAATTTGGTATAGTACTTTTTTTTCTCCTGACCAGTAAGCTATTTGTTTTGGTATCTGGTCAATATAACACAAAAAGCAATAAAACAATAAAAAATATAGATATATGATGCATTTGATCTTTGGTTTCAGTGCATATACTTCCCTATATCTTCCAATATAACAAAAATAATTTATTTTATTTAAATATATTAAAAGTCTAGACAGGCTTTCCAATACCCATACCATTCTAAATTAGGAGAAAGAAAGCTAGGAGAGTTATTTCCATGGGAAATGATAGGCACTTACCTTAGCTATCTGGACACACCAGTTAAGCAGCAGCTGGGATCCAATGTTATCCTTGTGTTCATGGACATAATCCAACAGGCAACCATGGGGCATAAGCTGTGTAACCAGCTGAATGGTTGGGCTCAGACACACACCCAATAACCGGACTAAGTGTGGATGGTCCATACTTGCCATGATCAAAGCTTCCTATAAAAAACAAATAAATAACACCATAATTTTAACCCAAATTTTTTTACAGAACTATATTAGTGGTGCTGATCATAATTTTGAAAATGTGCTCTCATTCAATGGAATCAATTAAAAATGAAAAGATACTATTGCAGCTATAATATTCTTAAAGTGATTTAATTCAAGTAAAATTAAGTAACAAATAAAGACCATACATTTATTAAGATGGAAAATTTTATAGAATTAAATGCATATAAAACTAATATTAGTGTATTCTCTTTTGTAAGATGGACAATATTTGATTTTATTTATTGCTAAGTTGATACTGAATCCTAACATACTGTAGATTTTTAACTTTTGATCTTTAGTTCTAGAATACAATAATCTATACAAGTGCAGTTATTTGCACGTAGTATTAGGTGATTCAAAGTTAAGTCATCCATTATTAATGTGGATTCAGATAGCATATACAGGTGTAGTTTATAAATTATATATATCAAAACTTAAACAATTACAAGCAATATACCATCATGGACTTATGTAGAAAAATAAACCTTTTAGTAAGACATTCTGTTCCATAACTTTGTCTTTACTCAAATGTATTCCATTTCCAAAATTATAAGTGATGTATTATTCATAGAATCATAAAATTTGAAAGCTGAGTGAGACTATAAAAATTATCTACTCCAACTTTATCATTTCATTAAATGAGAAAACAGCTCTAATTTCTTTATCATAATCATGTCACTTTTGTTTAATGAAGATAAAATTGGACATACGAAAGTTATTTAGTGCATCTTAAAGTTAGCTTCCAATTAAAAGTTAAGACTCTTTACTACAATTTGAAACAGATGGGACCTTACACACACACACACACACACACACACACACACACACACACACACCAGGATCAGCACACATACAATTTATTATCAATCAGTTTACCTACACTGAATCCATGCGAATGTTTTTTGTAGCATTCTTGAATATTTTCTGTGACTGAAATTTTTCAAAACAAAAAATTGAGGACTGAAAGCTACACTGACCTTTTTTTAAGATGGCATGGCAGATCAAACACACAAATTTATTTCCATTTCTTCTCAATTCCACTATACTAACAATAAAGGGATTAATAAAGGGGGTGACATCAACAGTCACAGAGAGGAGGCAATAAAGAGAAAACTAAAAGTAGGAAGTGGCTTACTAGTAACTAATTTAGCATATGCAAGACATCTGAAGCCTAATGTAGCAGGTAGGGAAACTGAGAAGAAATCCAATTTACACCACATGTGTACACCACCAAAGGCTCAAGTAGTGTTAGCACCATAAATCTCTGCAAATGGAGCAAGATTATTTCAAATAATCCTCTATTTAGGAGGCACTTAACACTACAGATCTCCTCCCCTCCAGTAAAAAGATTGTAGACTATGGATATTAAGCAAAATGGAAATATAAGTACTCTGGTGAAAAAAGTAGGATTATGTAGATTTATACTTGGAGAAAATTGGGGCCACCTTCTAGTTCCTTCTCCCAAATAGAGCTATGACTTCAAAATTCTGAAGCTTAAATTGTTTAAACTTCAAATTCCAAATCCAGCAAAATTTCAATTAAGTGAGTGAATATACAACATGTTCAGGCATGTCTATTTTTAAAAAACTTATCTCAGGGGGCTCCTGGGTGGCTCATTCACTTGAGCATTGGACTATTGGTTTCAGCTCAGGTCATGACCTCAGAGTCATGAGATCAAGCCTGGCATTAGGTTCTGTTCTCAGTGGGGAGTCTGTTTAAGATTTTCTCCCTCTGCCCTACACCCCCACTTATGCTCTCCCCCCACCCCTCTCTAAGATAAACAAATCTTAAAAAAAAAACTTATCTCACATCTCACATCTCACATGCTTCCTTCTCTGTTAGATGCACTCATTAAATAAGAAGGGGGCAGTTAAAATAGTACATTTAATTTAGGAAACAAAAAAATGACAATGAAGGGATATTCCAGAATAAAAGCTATCCAAGAGACCAAGATAGCAGTCATTCTAGACTGGAGTGGGACATATTGATCTGGAAAAGGTGATCCAAGAAGATGGAGATGATAGAACATCTAATGAGTTTAAAATACTCTAAGAGTATGTATATTTAGCAGAAGCTGAAGGTCAGATTAGTGATTGATGCACAGAAAATTAAGCAAAAGTAAAATGGAGAAATTGATTTGATGTAAAGTACAAGACATAGAAGAAAAGCAAATCATGTATTCACTATGGAGCATGGCAGGGAATAGTTATACAAGCATAAGGCCATAAATACAAAATGTTGATATAAGCAAACACCATATGACTATCCTGGAAAGTGAAGGGAAGTGAAGGGAAGCTTCTGCAAGGCGGTGATGGCAAGAAAGTTGTTCATAGTGACAAGTTAGTATATGATGCCTAAAGTGGAAGAATCAAGAATTGGCAGGGTAAGCGTAATGTTTATACATAGAGTTAAGTGGAAAAATAAATTGCTGAGAAATTGAAAGTGATTACTTTGGGCAATGGAAACCAGGCAGTAAAGGGAGGGGAGAGGCACCCTAGACTTCTGTCTTTTACTACTCGCCTCGTAGAAGTATTTGACTTTTATTATTATTATTATTATCTTAGAGCTATTTGTGAGGACATAAACTTTTAATCTTCACTACTATTTTAGTGGTGTTGCTTTCAGCTGAGTCTAAAGATTATTCACAATTATAGGATATTTCTGATGGAGTATATGGATTTACTGGATCCAGCCAGGGTTTTAGGTGAGGTAATAACAATTTACTTTTTTGAGTAAGGAAGAGTGGGGCAGAATGGGCAAATGTCTCTGAGAAAGAAGAGATACAAGTCCAAACAGAAACAATCAGCTGGTAAAAGGGTATCAGCCTGACTCAAAAGACTTTGTTTCTGAGTGTGGGCGGAAGCTGAAATTGTTATTTTCCAGAAGGCTTCCCAGTAGGGAGTGCTACAATTCATCCTTCCTCAGCAGCCCCAGGGAACCAGAGCCATAGGGTAGGGGAGAACCAGTTTCTATGCTTCCTTGCTGAGCCCACCACCATAGCAACGCATGGGGACTGGCAGCCCAGGGAATGCTGAGGTGCATCACCTCTGGCAAGGACACCAGCATCCTCAGGTGGTACCAGTCAATGGTACCAGGTGTAGAACCTCTCTGGCTCAGAGAGAAGACAAGCTCCACATGGGGGCCAGGCTGGTAAAGAAGGACACTGCAGATGTCACAGGAAGACTGCGACTGGGACATTGGCTCATAGGTACATATGAGGCACCCAGCAAGTGCCCAAACTATGTGGGGATCTTCTTTAGGGGTCGGAGTTTCTGCATAATCAGCAAAGCCAGAAATCTGAGTTATTGCTATGAATATGGCCCCATCTGGATCCAAAAGGAAGAAACATTTTGATTTTATTTACTCTATATTTTAGTACACATTTGAAATAAAGCCTATCGATGTAGTTATAAGGAGAGCACAGATAAGAATGTTAGCCAAGTAATACTGTATTGTTATAATTAATTATTAACATTAATATTGAAAGTATAAACCAGAGGGTTCCTTCACTGAATTATGATAATCACACATATATACACATATACACCAGCAAATAAGCAAAACATAAATTAAATATCTAATTTTATGAAGTACCAAATTAGATATTATCTAATTAAATTTATACTGATTACATTTTCTCTGTTTCTTTTCTGGTAGCTTTACGTCTTTTACGAGCCTAAGTGTCACCTAGGTTTGTCATTACAGGTAGCTATCCCTGGCCTCATTCCCAAAGAATCAGGGCTAGAAGTAGATCAGGAATCTGCATTTGCAGCAAGCTCCCCAGATGAAGCTCCTGTAGGAAATATGAAAATTGAGGACCTCTGGAACATTGCATAAGATGTACCTATAATCCATTGCAAAAATAGTAACTTGTAATTGTGGTCTGATCCCCATTATAATACTAGAAGCAGTGAAAGGATGTAGTAATTTTCAGCTGTAAAAGGAGAAAACCAAGGCTGGCTGGGCTTACTGCCCAGATAATATGATAAGTAGCAGGATTGGGTTTAAGATTCAGGATTTCTGATTCTTAGTGCAGTGCTCCTTCTTACAATACTATATTTTATAAATTTTAGTTCCATCAGCACTTCACACTGTAGATGCTTATGTTGTTAACAAGAAGACAGCTCCAAACAACCTGACATTAGTCATAAGTGAAGAACTGGATCAAATTATACTTTATTTCCTGAGGAGCAACTAAAATCAAACAACAAATTTGCACTAACAGGTAAACTGCCATCACTTATAAAATGCTTTCCGAAAAAGCCAAAGAAAACATATTTCTCTTGTTTCCTAAAAGTATTATTTGGCGCAGACCATTTCTTGAGAAAGAAAAATGATGAAATTTAAGGTAAAATAAAGATTTGGAGGTTGTTTCAGGCTTCTTTTTTCAGGATGAAATACATAAACAATTTTTTTTTCTTTTACAACTCTCAGTACTCCCATCGTTACAAGGAGTAACGATAATTCCATTCTAAATATGCGTGCGAAAAGTTTACATCAGAAGGGTGTAAAAAAGTCACATGAAAGTTCTCTTTTAAAAAATCTATTAGTAAGTCCTGGCAAAAAAGCTGGGGTTGTATTAAGGAAAATTGCTCATCACACTACAAAGAGTATTTGAAACCAAATTGCAGAGTATTTGCATAATAGTTCTCTTTTTTTTTGAGAAAGAAAAGATGAACAAGACACTAATTGTAGGTTTTATTTTTTTCATAAAGGAAATAGCAGATGGCTTTTTTGGGGGATAGGGAAAGAGATAAAGAAAAGAGAACGTGGATTCATTTAGAGTGATGAGTGGGATGGAAAGGGAAAAAAATTCCAATATTTTAATAATGGAGTGTTGGATTTCAATAAATTGCTCTGTGTTGAAGTTAATAATGTCCCTTGTTACCTATCTCCGTGTGGGCCTATGGAAGCAATTTTGGAATCTCTGTTGTCACTAGAAAATGTCA